CAGTGGGAGGTGTCCCTGCCATGGCAGAAATGGTTGATTTTTCATGTCCCTTCCAACCCAAAGCATTCCATGATTCCCTGCTGCTCTCCCACGCAGGGTCCTGCGAGTTTACAGCACCCAAACCAAGCGAGTGGCCTTCAATGTCACCAAGATGCCATCGGGGTCGGGAGCTGAAGGAGAGGTACGGGGCTCTGCTGGGGCTGGAAACTGCTGGGAGCTCTTTTATCTGAGATTCCTGGTCCATGAAACCAAAGGATCAAATATTTTCCATTCAAATAATTCCTATCTTGTAGAATCATCAAGGTTGGAAGAGACCTTCATGCTCATCTACTCCCACCATCATCACCCCAAAACCACATCCCCAAAAGTTCTTGCTGATGAAAGCAGTAACACAATCCTTCAGTTGTAAAACTTAAAAATAGTGTGGAGAAAACAGTTCTTGACAGGAAAAACTTCAAACATAGTAGTAACTTCAAATGTAGCAGTAGCTGGGAGTTTATTAATGGATGTGACAGTCATTATAATAGTAATGGTATTTTAAATTTAATAGTAATAATATTTCAAAGTCAACAGTCTGGAATTTTCAAGAAGGTAGTTAGATTTTGAAGAAAAATATGAATTAGGGATAATTTAGGAAATTCTAACCCTAAGAGGGAAAACAAAGAGCTTTTTTTCCTTCCCAAAGAGCCTTAAGTGATAGTAAAATAACACCTCCAGGCTGGCTATAACCTTAATTCCTTCTATTCGCTGCCTTTCTTTTTGGGGAAAAACATTTTTAAGAGTTTTATAGACATTGAAGAACAGGCCTGAGAGCAGGCACTTTGCCATGGGAGAAGTTCTCTTTCAGCCTCTAATCCTGGGGTTAGAATGAGATGCCTGAGCCACACTGGGTGTTAAATAATGTTGTTCTCCAGGTTATGACTGTTTTTTTTGATGGCTGGTTTAAGGTGACAGCTCTGGGAGTGTTTTGCTTTGTAGCTCAAGAGGGATCAAGGATTATTTTTCTTAGCTGTGAAGAATTTTTTAGAAAGCTTGAAGGAACCATGAATTTTTTTAAAGGTTTTATTGAAAAGTTCCATCAGGCTGGAGTGTCCAAGTGGATGTTTTGTGTCCCTGGGATTGCAGCTGGCACATTCCTGGCCTTTTCCTCACTCCTGTTTGCTGTGTTGCAGGCGAGGAGCTTTCGGATGTTTCATGATGACAGCATGAAGTCGTTCTTCCGCAGGCTCACCTTCACTCCTGATGGCTCCTATCTGCTCACTCCAGGTGTGGGGACATCTCCTGGGCCTTGGGTTATGTCACTGAGGTTGGAAAACATTCCCAGGGTCATGGAATCCAAGCTGTACCCCATGCCCACCTTGTCCCCAGCACATTCACCTCACTCCTGGTGCTCAGTCACCTCCTCAAATCCTCTCTACAGCTCAAGGAAGTGCACCAGGCTTTAAAAAGGGGTCAAATTCTGTTTCAGGGACACTTCTGGGGATCCAGGAATGAGGGGCTCTTGTTTCCAAACAGAATGGTCCAAGGAAGGAGAAGCAGTTCAGAGAATTCTGGAATTATTGAGGTTGGAAAAGCCCTCCCAGCCCATGGAGCCCACCTTGTCCCCAGCCCAGAGCACTCAGTGCCACCTCCAGGGGACACCTGCAGAGATGGGCACTCCAAAGCTCCCGGGGCAGCTCATCCCAAGGTCTGAGCAGCCTTTCCAGGACGAAATTTTCCCAATATCTAGCCTAAACCTCCCCTGGCCCAGCCTGAGGCCGTTCCCTCTCCTCCTGTCCCTGTTCCCTGGAGCAGAGCCCGACTCCCCGGCTGTCCCCTCCTGGCAGGGGCTGTGAGAGCCAAAAGGTCCCCCTGAGCTTCCTTTGCTCCAGGCTCAGCCCCTTCCCAGCTCCCTCAATCTGTTATATCCTAATTTGAATATTCCTTAATATTTCCTGCATCTCAAGGATGCTGATTTATCCTAATTAAGCCATTCCTCATTCTCCCTATGGAAGAAAATATAAACTCCACAATACTCTCCATTAACAATCCACAACATCAGCTGTCTCCTGTGAAAAAAGTGCTATTTGTGGCATTTTTGCTGACTAAATTGCAACACCAGAAGTCTTAAAATAGAAATTAAGGATAATGAGTGGGGTTTTTTTTTTACTCTGTCCTTCCCTCAGAACATTCTGCATTCAGAGTAAAAACGGCCCTGCAAGGAGGGATCAGTGTGTACCTGTCCAAACCCTGCTTTTATTGATGTCTGGCAACATCAAAAAGCAGCTTTGAAGAGGGGAAGTGTATAAGGGAAACAAAACCAGCACTAAATAAATATTTGGGATGCCTTTTTAAGATGTATTCAGCTTTTGCCCAACTGACAAGCCTAATTCCTGGGAATTAGAATATTTATGGAGAAGCCTAATTCCCAGGAATTGGAATGTTTGTGGACACAAGGTGTGTGCTCTCTGAGGTGATGAGTAATGTTGGAAGCTTTGTTTTTGCAGCTGGCTGTGTGGAATCAGGAGAGAACGTTACAAACACCACCTATGTTTTCTCCAGAAACAATCTCAAAAGGTAGGGGTTTAGTCAGATAAAAATCTGTTTGGATTTAAAAAGAAACAAGTCAAATAGAGCAGAAGTGGTTTCTGAACTCCTGCCTCTCTCCCAGGCCCGTGGGGCACCTGCCCTGCCCTGGCAAGGGCACCCTGGCTGTTCGCTGCTGCCCTGTGTACTTTGAGCTGAGAGGAGCCTCTGCTAAAGGTATGGGAAGCTTCAGGGAGTGGGAATAAATTTGGGAAAAGATGGGGCTGGACATCATTTTACACCCCAGCCTTTCAGCATTCCTCTAAGACAGTGCTGAGAAGCTGTTTCCTGACTCTGAGGCCCTGAGTTCACCTCAAGTCCCTCGTGAGTTGCTTTGGGTAGAGTGGATTAATGTTGTTCCTTGGCCTCTCAGGCTGCAGGAACGCTGTGAAATATTTTCCTTGAACTGTTAACCATTTTGTGTTCAAAAGAAATAACCTGGTTTAGCACCAGAGGAGCAATGCTGTGAAATAATTCCTGTTAGTCTCAACTGCCCACATCACAGGGAATTGGAATAGTTTGCTACAACCACTGGTGTTTATTCAAGGAAGCAGTGCTGGTGTTACTGAGCAGAACAGGAATTCTGAGCTGGGGACAGGATTTTGTGAAGTTGTGTAAGAATTTATTTTTTATTTATTTAATCTAGCTTTATTGTGGGTCCAGGAGTATTTATATTTTAGCAAGAGTGACATTACTCAGGTGAAAAGGCAGAGCTTGGCTCCTTTCTTTAAAGGTTAAATCTGTAGTATTCCTTACAGGATTTACCTGTTCTATTTCCATCATAATTTTATATCCATGGTGTTGCAAAGGAAAGAAGTGAGGGTCTGCAGTTGGTCTCTGTAGCTCCTTTAAAGGCAGACTTTAATATTAAAGTTCTTATAAATATGCTGAAAAATTCCAGCTGGAAAATAGAGGGGAAAATTTACAAAACAAAACAGCAGCAATGCAGAGGGAAAAAGGTGCCTTTTTTTTTTTAACTGAGAAAATGAATGGTGAATTTCAGTCAATGGGAATGTTAAATTTTGCATTTTATGCAAGAGCTGTGTGCTCAGTGTTTATACTGATTGATGATGTAATTTTATTGAAATTAATGGCTAAGTGCAGTCACTGTCTTGCAGTAAATACAAGAGAATTCTCACTGTTAATTTCTTTGCAGATGAAATCAGTCCCAAATCCCCCCCTGCCCTGTTCAGCCTCCCCTACCGATTGGTGTTTGCTGTTGCTTCAGAAGATTCTGTGCTTTTTTATGACACTGAGCAGTCCTTCCCCTTCGGTTACGTCTCCAACATCCATTACCATACCCTGAGTGACATTTCTTGGTAAGGATTTGTATTCCTAAGATTTATTGTGATGGGGAAATGTCCTTTATCCATGTCCAGTTCTGCACAGCATTTGAGTCTTGCCTTGGGTTTCTATTTCATTTATGCAACACCCGTGCTCACTGTGTCTGAGCAGCAATCCAGCCCTGTTTGCTCTGCAAATTTGAGAATTATGGCTCTTAATCAGTTGCTTGAAGTAAAATCTTGACCTTTAATGGAAAAAATAAATCCCAAACAGGTCCAGTGATGGATCCTTCCTGGCCATTTCCTCCACGGACGGGTACTGCTCCTTCGTCACCTTCGAGGAGGATGAGCTGGGAGTGCCCCTGAAGGAAAAGCCCCAAATCCACGTCAGGACTCCTGGAGCAGCAGCAGACAAGAAAGCCAAAAAGACCCAATCCCACAAAGTGATTTCCCCAAGCTCCAAGCTGGCAGAGGGGACCCCTCCCAGCAAGGATCCCCCACTGCAACCCCGAACCCCCAGCTCTGCTGGGAAGGAGCTGCCTTCCACCCCTGTGGGCATCAAAACAGCTCCAGTGCCATCCCCTTCCACCCCTGTGGGCATCAAAACGGCTCCAGTGCCATCCCCTTCCACCCCTGTGGGCATCAAAACAGCTCCAGTGCCATCCCCTTCCACCCCTGTGGGCATCAAAACGGCTCCAGTGCCATCCCCTTCC